TTGGGTGACTTTTGACTCTGAGTTTTGGCTACGATTTTCCACTATACACCTGAGCGTACGCATGAAGCAGGTGCACCAGATAGCATTTCATGGAGTCTGAGTTGAGATGTTCGAGCACATACAGTGTGGAAGCCTGCGCGACATGTCGCAAGAGACTCTCATTCTTCAGAGACGATCTGATGACGTCGATGAGGTTGGAAACATCTCGCTTGAAGGGAATGAAGTGATGGTACGGCTGCAGATCCCTGTACCAGAACTCTTCGCTTGTGGATTCTTGCTTCAAGACTACCACGTTGCTTGCAAGGAAGTCGAGCAGACGGTCAGGAACCGAGTTACCATCCGGCACGACGACTAGCTTGTACTGCCACTGTTCAGAGTGCGAGACTCGTCCTCTCGATAGAAACCCTTCCTTCTCCATGACTCTTGCAACCTGGTCGGAGTCTGTCTGAACGATGTTTGTGAAGCGAGCATCGATAAGTTCCGGGTGATCCAAGGAGGCCTGCACGATCTTGCTCCTGGGGAAATCCCTCCAGTTGTTGAGCGTGTAAACACCCCCTGTTGTCGATCCTCTGAAAAAGGCTTTGTTCTTCTTGCTTTCAAAGGGGATGCTGTTGTCCAACGCTGCTGTCTTCAAGAAAGAGTCTGTAAACCCTGTCACTGACCTTGGAGTCGCCAGAATCCCATTGCTCCCCTTTGACTTCTCATGGATGAAGACAGGGACGCACGCGTTGTTTGCGTCGGGCACACGCAATCCTCCGTAGCCATCATGGAAGTATGCAGTGAACTCGACATCGGGCAACTCTACCTCGTCAGCCACCTTGGCTATGTCTTGAACGAGCCCGTTGGTCACTCTGTTACTTTTCTCCCATCGAGTTCCTTCAGTACCGTAGTGGGTGACATGGTTGTTGTGGATGCTGACGCCAACATAGTCCTCATCCTCCCGCACCTTCCTCCTCACCACTGACTGTGTCACTCGCCCAGCACACGAAGCAGAGCGGTAAGGACGTAAAGACTCCTCGATGCTCGGATGAGCAAGGCACCTCTTGGCATGAATGAACTCATCCAGACTTAGCCGAGCTGGCTGCGAGTCCCTTGCTGGGTGTTCCGACTGCACTGGAAGCTTCACTGGTCGTAGGATCCTCTCCGGCTCAGGTTTGGAGGCTGCTGTCCGATGCAAGTCAGCGATCCTGGGCTTTCCATCATGGAGGTTCGCAGTCTTGTTCGAGGGAGAGCTTGCTACCTTGATAGCAGTGTTGCCGAGCCTTGCGTTCTTCCCCCCTTCAGTTCTTCTCTCCCTCGTCTCCGTGATGTTGTTCTTGAGTTGAACGGAAGGAACCCTCTGCCCCCTCCCCATCGCCCCAGGCTTCGTAACATTGCTCAGCTTCCCATGGTCACTCACCGAAGGGGCGCTCCGACTCGACGGCTCCTCATGGCGGGGTCGAGGGGTGAAGAGGACGACACGAACTAACACAGAGAGCAAGGAGAGGACGAGGACGAGGACCGTGAATCCCCGCATCCCCTGCGCCCCCTGCCCTTCTTTCACTAGCCGAGCATGGCGACAAACGGTACTACCGTACTGTGAGAGGCCCGTAAAGTTATTATAATTGATTTTATAATACTGTCAACTTCCGGGGGGACTGTCACCCGGGCATGGGCCGGCCCGCCCCCGGCCCGGCGCCTTCTGGTGTAGACTGGCCGTAGTACAAACGTGACATTTTCTTTACTCAAAGTTTTAAGTTAAAAATCAGTAGGAGGACAATCAGGAGAGTCGGGGAGGCTTGACTTACACGCCCTTTTGAATCTGTGCTAGGCTACACACGCCTCAGAGTTGTTGGTTTCTTTTGAGTGTAAACGAGAAAGGAAGAGTGGAGTTGGAGACGAGAGAAGCGAACAAGAAAGGAGAGGAGAGGGGAGGAGAGGGGAGGGGAGTGGAGGGGAGTGAAAAAAAAAAAAAAAAAAAAAAAAGGGGAGTGGGGAGAGGGAGGGGGAGGAGAGGGAGAGGGAGGGGGAGGGGAGAGGGAGGAGAGGGAGAGGGAGAGGGAGAGGGATGCTGCAAGAAGAGTTCACGGAAGCAGTTGGGAGGAGCGATATCGCCTTTCTGACAACGAGGCAGATCAGCAACCTGGTACCTGGGTCATGGGTGGAGTAATAGGGAAGTCAAGACGTTCCAAGGCTAGCGGGGTACCAGCTGCTCCTCCTCGTAGCAGCGAACAGCTCGCAGGGGAAGAGAAGAAGCTACAAGATCGCAAGGACCATGGCCCGCAGCCTTCGCTTCCTGTCCCGGTGAATGGCGACGATGGCTGGTCCTGGGAGGAGCCGCTGATGATGCTGGTTAAGGTGGCGGCAAGGACGGCGGGAAGCGGAGGGATGAAGGTTGCTGATGAGGCAGCCGCAGGTTCTGAGGAGAACCAGTTGGTTGCTTGCTCGGTGTGTTGTTGCCGGGAACGAGGAGGGTTGTTCTTACCTGAAATTGTACAGGGCGGGTTGCAACATGGCGGGGATGAGGAGAGTTTTTCAGATGTGAGGGAATCGCGGATCTTGAAGGATGGGGATGGAAGGAGAGAGGAAGGGACGGAGGATGAAACAGGGGAAGAGGCATTGGAGGAGAGGGAGAAAGAAAACCATGAGGAACGGGATGGAAAAAGAGTTGAAAGGGAATGCGATTCGAAATTCAAGGTCGATGGACTATTTATGGATGATTTGAAACAAGTTTCCATGTGCTCTGAGCATGTTGAACCAAAGAGTGGCGCAGCTTTGGATACGAGCACAATTACTTGCGTCAACTCCGAAGAGACGCTTGAAGGTAGACATGCAGGCAATCCTTTCCCACCAGCGGAAGAACGCGTTGAGGGTAAAAAGAGTGTCAGTTGGGAAACGTCGAGCGCAGGGCAGAAGTTGTACCTCAGTGAAGTGAGGGAGGATATGATTGAGCTCATGATATCAAACTTCGAATACTTGCTCCCTCAACGCTCGCTGTTGGATTGTGAGATTTTGACGTTTGCCACGGAGGACTCAGCCAACTCGTGTGACTTGGAAGATCAGCTCAGCTCAGCTGGGATGGAGCAGAAACTGCATTCAAACCTCGAAAACTCTCTGAAGGTGCTCGTGTTTGAAAGCAGCATCACATTTCCAGCTTGCTTGCATACTGGACAAGATGATGCGATGTGTTGGTTGTCTCTGTCAGTGGACCTCTTGTACCTGAGATCTTACTTGTTGCTACGTGAACTGGTTGATTGTAATCTCCTCATGCCAAGAAACGAAGAGCCGCAAATGAGTCGACAGCATTCATTTCAGCAGCTGCACCAAGACTTGCTGTTGTTCATGCAGACAGGGAGCTCGAATGTTTTCAAGCGCCGCGATGGTGGGGCCGGAGAGTTTGCAGTGAGGTTGATTTGGAATGATGTCAAGGAGAGGAGTTACTTTCACGCTCGATCTCATATCAACATACTGCACAGCAACCGCAAGTCTTCGAAATCTCAACAAGATCACCCGATGAAACCTTGCAGCCTGTTGCCTTTCCTTTCCTATCAGGTCCGACCTCATCCACACATACTTCCAATCGCATTCACTGACAGTCTTGGGGGAGCGAAAATGTTTGCAGCTCCCTTCCTACATGGTTATGTAGCGCTGAACGAATGGATGATACATCCGACAACAAGAAGAGCGTACTGTTTTGAGGATGATGTCGTGGACAAGAACAAGGAGAGTGATTGGGCAATGAGTTTGTTGCACATCTCCTTGCAGGTAATTAAGGTCGTCAGGGCAGTGGAAAGAATGTGATGACGGCCAGTGAGAAATGTGACGTGATCAGTGAGAAATGTGATGTGTTCAGTGAGAAATGTGACGTGTTCAGTGAGAATTTAAGCGAAAAATGTGACATGTTCTGAGGTGCGAGATGATTTCTTTCTGATGCAAGTCTTGTGAATGCTTGTTTGTTGAAGATTGTCGACTTGTTTCTCAGACGAAAGTCTCATTCATCTCTTTCAGGTTTCATCTGCAGTCTCTTTCCTCCACGCTCCGAGCTCGCACGTTCACTGTCGTCCCCGGGTGGACAGCCCGTACGAGTGGTCAGAGTCGTCGGCACACCTTAGCCTTTCTCCTCAAGTGATACTAGTCCGATGTCTGTTTCACCAAGATGTCACAGATCATGTCAAGTTGCAATCAGGAGCCGTCGAGCTCAACTGGCCGAACATGCACGCCGTGTTGTGTGATTGGAAAGATAGCACAACAACAGTCAAGATGGAAGAAAGTTTGCGATCGTTCCAAACATGTCGTGCATGTTCTACGAATGTATCGGGAGCAGTCAGATATGAAGACTGCAGGAATGCGGTTGTCAGCGGAAGGGCGGGGTTTTGGTCGCCGGAGGAATGTTCCCTAGCATGTGGATGGGAAAGTAGAAGGAAAGACGAGGAGCAAAGTAAGGAGGAGGAGAGGGATACGGGGAATACAGGCGAGAAAGGTGGAATGAAAGCAGCAGGGGCAGGCGAGGAGGAGAAGGGGATGAAAATTTTCGATTTCGAGGAGTACTGGGATGGTGTCAAGTTACCCCAAGAGACAATCCTGTTGTCTGCGGTCAGCGAATGTTTGATAGAGAAGCAGTTGCAAGACAGCAGTTGGACTACCTTGTACGTTGCGTTGGAGGCAGCAGGGAGTGGGGTTTTGTTGGGAGAATGCAAACTGAGCTTGCAGGAGTTAAGTGCTGGTGACAAGAGAATCGTCGTGTCGAGCAAGGGAGAAGTGGTAATTGACACATGTGAAACGACTCAGCAGACAAATGAGATGTTACGTGTGAAACTTCCATGGAGACAGGAGGACGCTCAAACGAGCGCACAAGTTTGTACAGCCTTGCGAGTCAACAATCACCTTGCTGAAGCTATCTTGATACATGTTTGGTTTGAAACATCTCCAGTGCGATCTTTCCCAGTCCTTTCATCCTCTCCATCTACAAGTTCAGACGTTTGGAGTCTTGCGATGCTGATCATCGACATGCACGGGTGGACGAGCAAACTGAGGGCAGGAGGATGGGAGAGCTTGACATTGTGTTGCAAAGAACATCTCGATCTCGAACACAACACAGAAGTCTCCCGTTCCCCTCCTCGGTCGAGCATGCCTGACGACCTGCTCGCTTGCTTGCAAGGCTGTTTGAAGGCTTGTCCAAGTCGTCGAGTCTGCAGCAGTTGCGTCACAGCTCGTCTTGGAGAGATCATGAGGACGCGCGCGAAGATCTCTATCTTTCATGAAGTTGCCGCCCTGTCATTGCAGACACAACTCTCTCATACGGTTGTCCAACGGTTCAGGCCTTTACTCCATGTTAATGTGCTACGACCCTGAAGTCGAACATCGTTTGTGTTGCCAACAGCTTACCCCTGCAGTCTGACAGGTGAAGTCTACTGATTTAGTCTTGAAGCATCGCTTGCTTCGACTGGCTCTTCTTCCACCATGATTCAATGGTTCTGGCAAGAAGCGATAATGAAGGGTCGCCATTATTGTTTTCTTTACCTTTTTCAATGCATGTCTGTGCGGTCAGCCATGAGATCTGAATAAACTTCATGGATGCCATTTCTCTCCTGTTGGAACAGGATCATGCTAGGATCATGCCTCTCCGTTTCTGTTACCATGTGTTGACCTTGATATTTCTCAAGGATTGACCATACCATCTTCTCCGACTGGTACGGTGAATGGCAACTCTCACCGCCTGACATGCGAGTGAAGTTGAATTGAAGCTTGTCATCGTCTTCATCATCAACTCGTTCCTCCTCATCACTGACATCTCTCCATCATGAGTCCCTTCCCTCATCAACACCTTGCTCCTTTCGAAGCTCGGGCCTCTTCATCATCTCACCAACTTCATCATTCTCATCGGCATCGTCACCCGATTAAATCCTCAGCCTCCTCCACCGACAACATCAGTCATCTTTTGCATCATTCACACTGACATGTGTATGTCCATGAAGACTTTTTCACTCTTGAGCAGAAAAACCCCTTGACAGCATGTTTGTTCAGTTTGCTTGTTTCAGGTTCGTTCGTTTCGATTCAAAGAAGAGCTTCCAGCGAATGGAAGGGAGTGAACAATTTGTATATAGATACGGACGATACATATACTAGACCACACAATAAAAGTTGTTCTAGTGCACCATCCAGAACAAGTGTCACACTGCACAAACGTGTCCGCTTGTAAGAGTGGAGCTCCTACTCTTCGCCACCCAGCTCGCGCTCTAGAGCCAGGGCCTTCTGGATTTGCAGCCAGACCCGAACCTTGTGGCGGGGAGGGGCGCCCTCCTCGTCGGTGAAAGCGTCGCGAGCGTGAGCCTGCAGAGCGTTGTTCGAGTAGATCATGTCTCCACGAACGAGCGGCTCGTAAAAACAACAAATATCGTCCAGCTGATCGTCAAGGACGTCCATCGCGATGCGCAGGAAGGCGGGCACGTCCCAGCCCGTCTTTTCGTGGCCGGTCTCGATCCAAAATCTCATATAGCGAGCTCGCATGCGCTCTCCGTCGATCATGAAGATGGGATAGGAGTTGTTTCGGATTCGCAGCGCGAGCAGGCCGGCACTGCGACTCAGCTGCATGCTGCCGCCTATTGATCCCTTTCCGGCTCCATTCTCGAGCACGTCTCGCGGAACGGAGCGAAGCAGCTCGTAGAGCAAAAACTTGGGTAGCTGGGCTTGCATGCGCTCGAACGCATTGCAGAAGTTGGACACTCTGAAGGCCCCTCCTTTCGGGGCCGGAGAAACGCACAGCAGCGACACGACATCGTATACGTTATCACGCGATGCGCCGTCCGTGTGCCACCCAGCTTCTGAGTCGGATACAGAAAAGAGGACGTTGTCCGCCTTTTTTTCCATCGCGTTGAGCTGGGCGCTCTTCACGTCGAAGAGCCTTCCTCGGGCGGTGGCGTCGACCTTGCCGATGAACGAGCTGAGGATGAAGAAAGCTAGCTTGCTGCAGGCGGTCATCTTCTCAAGCTGCTCGACGCCTCCGAGTCTTGTCATGTCGAGTCCACGGATCAGGGCACTTCCGGTCTCTTCGAGCAAGTTCCGGCGGACTTCCCGGCAGAATAACTTGACTGACTTCAGCTCGTCGCATGAGGCGTGCGCGCCCATCTCAAAAGTCTCCGCCGTGATTCCTTCTTCGTAGCACCGCAGTGCCACAGTGCAGAGCTCGTCGTTCGCGGCGATTGGCAGGGGCATGACGAGGGACTTCTTGATGTCTCGCATCATAGTAGAGGTCCACATGATCTTCTTGGGAAGCAAGTCCAGAGACGAGCTTCCGTTCACTCTCGACACAGACTTGGGCTTGCGCACCTTAAAGACAAGGTGAAGAGGGGCGTCACTGACGCTGGCAAAGAAGCTCGGGTTCGATGCCATGTGCTCGGGCTTCACTCGAGCCTCTTCACAGGTGACGATTTCGAAGCCAATAGTAGAAAGGGCCTTGAAATAGTCGTCGAGGGTTTTGAACACCATTCGAACGTTCAGAACAGTCCCATCCGTCTTCTTGATGTGGCCCGAGATGACTTGGTCTCTCAGAGAGAAGTAACGGTTTTGGTCACCCGCCTCACCTTTGAAGCCGAATGTGTCCGTCGTAAACTGGATGATCGCAGGATGAGGCACACTAAAGACAAAGGTACCTCCCGGCTTGAGAGCGCTGAAGACATCGCTCATGCAACTGGTCATGTCGTGGATCGTCATGTAGTTGAAGAGGAAAACAGCCACAGCAAGGTCGCAGAAACCCACTTCGAAAGCGGCTCCAAGAACAATGTTGGTCTGGTCCACAGTGTCTTGGAGGCTCTGCCGCAGTTCAGCTGCGTTTCCTGTGATGTAGTATTCACCTTGCTTCGCCATGGACTTGGCGCGGGCGATCATCTCTTCAGATATGTCGATTCCAATGACCTTTCTGGCGCCCATCGCCATGAAGGTTCGTGACATGTAGCCTTCGCCACAGCCGACGTCGAGCACCGTGGCGTCGCCCTTAGAGAGGACGTCTTCCACAGCTGCGACCACGCGAGGTCTTCCAGTAAAGTCGCTCAGGCAAGTAGGTTTGTCTCGTACCCAGTTTAAAGACTGTTTGTCGTAGAGAGCGCTCGCCGACTGGTGTGCTTCCAGATCGTTTCGTCTGGAATGCGACAGGGCAGCAACACCTTCCATAAACCTGACACGACTGTCCATGACTCTTTTTGTTGTGTGCATGATCGTCTTGCGACTTTCGGCAGTGTGGCAGTGTGCAAGTACGATGTTCCGCATGGCACTAGCGTGGTGCACGTCCAAGCTGGTGTGAATGACGAGGAAGGCCAAGTCGTCGTTGGTCAAGTCGGTGGTGAGTTTGAGGCCCTGCGCGAGGAGATTGTAGAAGTGAGGTACGATCAACTCAGATCCAAGATACAGGAGCGCCAGTAGACTCTCCACGTCGTTGCAGGAATCGACGATCGTCGATATGCTGCTTGCCACATCGTCTGGGATGAACCCATCATAAGATAATCCACAGTACTTCTCCAGCTTCTTTAACAACTTATCAAAGAGGATAGTATGCTTCACACCCAAGAAAGTGTCGCGAGAAATACCGAACTTGTCGACGAGAAGCTGGATATCTTCCTCGGAATAGTTTCCTTCTTCTTCAGAAATGTTTTCAGCAAGAACTTTGCCATGCTCTTTGTCGGTGATATGGGCTTCTAGCTTCTTGGAAGATGCCAGAAACCGGCCAGAGAAGTGTTTATACGCAGTAAAGAAACGAAGGGCAACGAAAGCAGTGTCTTTGCCTAAGGCCCCGCAAGCGATGTTCACCAGAAGGTGGTGGTTGACAGCACTGTGCCCCAGTGCATATTTCTCCATCACTGCTAAGAATTGGTCATTTGTGGCTTGAGTAGGATCGATGAGGTTGTGATTGAGGCCGTCCAAGCCGTCGTGAGGACGAACGTTGAACCTCAGGAGACCGTGCTTCAATTCTTTCCGGTCAAGAGTACCGGACTTGTCAGTGTCGAGCTGAGCGAATATCTCGTCCACAGTAGCATCGCTGCCCACAGTGCCAAGAAGCTTGCGAATCAGCAGTTTCACCTCCTCTCGATCGAGTTCACCACTCTTGTCCACGTCCACTTCCTCGATGCACTCGTCGATGAAGGTCATTTGAGCCTCTCCGGGCTCGAGACCGCAGTCGAGGATGTAGTACGGGTCCGACCTGTACAGGCTTGCAAGGTCTTCGACGGTGACTTCCTTGACTTCCTTTCCGCAGGCTGCGGAAACTTGGACAAGCAGCTCAGAGAAAATTGGCTCAACGTCTTCACCCGGACGATACTGGATGGTTTCTAGGAGAGTCTTGAAACCTTCTATGTCGAGGGATTTTTTCCCGAGATACTTCAACTGAAGCGAAAAATCTCGGAGAGCTGCCTTCGCTGCCTCCGACAGCTGGCGAGATGGTCGCGAACACTGTTCTGCCTGCATTTCTTGGGAGAACGAGGCTTCGGCCCCCCCCCCCCCCACACACACACCTTGAAGGCTTGTCAACTTCACTGCGCCGTGACCCTCTAAATCAGTCACATTTCTCCATGATTGATGGGGTTGGGTGATGCCAGGGGTCACCCATATTTTTTTATAGGTAGCAGTTCTCCCGTACGTCCCCGATGCTCCTTCTCCCTACGTTTTATAATATATATTATAAAACGTAAGGGATCCATAGTGTTGTATATATTATAGTTACAGCACAGCACCCCCTACATTCCCCACTGCCTGTAAGTATAATCAAAGCCAATGGTGGGTAGTGGAGCACCACCACCCCACCCATCGGGGGAATTTCAATAAAGTTGCATAATTCAATCGAAGGGGTGTTACCACCGGTCCATGACACCGCGTAATATTATATTTTTAATTGAGTCATGGACAAGCGCAGTTTATTACTGTTGTAGGACGTATTTACTGGTACAAAAGGACTGTACCGGATATCCAGAGATTTCACTCAAGTTCCCTGACAATCATGGTACTCATGCCTGGTACAAATTTGTACCAGGCCTTTCACACTTAAGCCATTTCGGCGTTGCTTTCATGGCGGATCGTTGCGGTTGCGCATTCGCCTTTGTCAGGTACTTGTGGGCGTCGGAACACCTCCTCACCCATCACCTGACCTCTGAATCCAGGCTCCCGATCTTCCCTCCAAGTATCAAGACGACAGCTTGCTCATGGTTTGACTGTCCCGTCTCGGACTTGCACTGATCCGTCACAGCCTTGCACTCCAGTCTGCAGACAATTCACTGATGGTGGTGGGAACGTTGTCATCACGTTGTCATCACTCATCAATATGCAGCATCTAGATGTGGTCAATGCCAAAGAAGTAACATCTCTCTCCAATCATGATAAACCCCTGAGCTTCAAACTCCATGTCACCCCTCATTCGCCCCCATGTTCATGAATCTGTAACACCTGACGATATGCAATACTGTGCAATATGGTTGGCACGCAACGTTCCTTTTGGAACATAACTGACCCTGAATCCAGCTTGGCATCAGTGCATGAAAATCCATAATGCCGTACATGACAATATGCACTCCACAGATCATGTTTAGCATGTCATCAAGACAGTGATTCATGCGAATATCTCCTCCATCTCCATCCATCACAAACATGCCAGATGGCAGCTGATACCACGGCATCTCACAACCTCAACTCCAACAAAGCATACTCCGGCATCCCTTCGCTGTCACAATACCCACCATCCCCTTGATTTGCAGTGCAGTATGATACCTGATCAACTGCATTGTCTGTTGCTCTCATTGTCATCATCATCCCAAAAAGTACCCTTGAGTATATCATCACAACCTACCATCGCTTTGGCATCGTAGCGAGAGACTCATTCTTTCCAACATTCCATTTCCACATGAGGGCTTAACACACATGTATCAACTCAACAATGATTTCATTCAGGAACGAACTGTAAATTCTCTACACTACGTGCTCTGGAGAATGTCTGCATACGTCCTTTGTCCACTCTCCCTATTTCTATTCGCCTCTACCTGATGGTCTTCAACTGCCAGTGACATCTCAATACGAACCTGCTTGTACACATTCTTCCTCGTGTTCTCATCCTTCACGTCTGCGGAGAAAGGAACCTGACTGAGGTGCTTTAAGGGCCGAATCCTCCTCACTTGTCCTTCCACGATGACATCTTGCCCCAGATTCCACCACATGAACATATTTCGAACTCTGCACCGCAAGGAAATCGCCAAGCCAACGGGACCATGTGTCTGCCAGGCACCCATCCTTCCCATTCGAAGTCATCCCCTCCAACTTGTATCTCACCGTTGCCATCATCCCCCTGTCCTGGTGATGAAACCAGCACCGCATTCCTCTCCGGTGTCCCCTCCCTGCTCACTTCTGCACCTTCCTCCGATTCACTCTCATTCAATCTTCCATTCGAGTCAGCATCTGGCATCACGTTGCTCACCCCATGTGCCATCATAACATGGCCTGCTCCATCCAGTACCATCTGTCGCATAGCTTCACCCACGGCGGCCTGCACCTGCTCCCCTATATTGCCCATCTGCTGCACCTGTTGTCCTATATTGGCAACCTGTTGCATGACGATGCGGAAAGCCTCTGTGAAGTCCATGCTTCCAGATGTAACCTGCCCTCCACTAGGACCTCGTACATCCCTCATCCATCCAGCAACAAAACCTAAATTCGTTCGCAGTTCGTCCCTGATCACAGTTTTGAAATCGTCAAACTTGTGGTCCAGTTCTTTCATCTTCTCCTCGATTACCTTCATCTTCTCATCCATCTTCTCCTCGATTACCTTCATCTCCTCCTTGATGGCATCTCGCACTTCAACCCTCATCTCTTTCATGCCTTTCAATATTTCTGTCTTGGTTGGAGTACCACTAGCTGACATGCCGCAATCGGTACACCTGTGCGAACACACGATGATATGCTCTCGCAAGGACATCAGCCTTGCCATACTGCCTTGTCCAAACATTCTAGCGACTCGTCCTTGATCCTTGACTTGTAGTCGTAGTATCCCTTGATGCCGTCGTTGATCTTCATGATCTGGAAGGAGCTCGTTGGGAATGTGCCGCAGACGTAGTCCGTGCCAAAGGTGGAGCCGTAGGTGTGGTAGCTGTTGTGGTTCATCCTCGGCCCCTTGAAGAGCCACATCCCCTCGCAGGGGTGCATGGGGCATAGGATCCCGTTCTCCTGGAGTGTGGTGTTGCATGCGAAGTTGTAGACCGCCACGCTCTCGGCGTTGAGCTTGATCATGTCGCAGTGTAGTGTTTCGGAGGTGGGCTGCGCAATCTCGCAGGGCTCCGTCGAGTGCTCGTAGATGTCTATCTCTGTAGGGATATCTAGGCCGAACTCATTGCCACCATCTTGATGATCTTGAGCCTTGCCCTCTGGCTTGCCTTCCTGAGCCAGTTGACCTCCTCTGACTCGCAGATATCCTTTGTGGTCGTCTCCTTGGCGGCATCGAGCATAAGGTTGTAGAACTCGTCTACCGCGTTGGGCAAACCCCCGTCAACCACAATGAAGAGCTTGTGCTCGAGCACGTCATTCACAAAGTTCCTATCAAAGGCATGGTAGAGGCCTATGCTGGTCGGAGGCTCGGGCTTCCAGGGCATGCTATCTACATACTTGTGGTTCTGGTCCCAGTTGACGTCTCCGTATTCGTCCACTACGACATCATTGAGAGGCATACAGGACAAGCCAGCGAAATTCTTCAAGCTCTCCTTCTTCAGCGTCTTCAGGATCTTAAGCATCTTCTCCCTACAGAGCTGGGGGTTTGTGAGGAGCTCTATGACTTTGTTGTTGACCCCCAGGTTGGCCTGTGTGTCGAACGCGTGATAACCTTCGTTGGTTGAGTAGTCGTTTTGATCCTCATCGTAGTCATCCTCAATGTAATCGACGTCGGGTAGGACCTGGGGCCTTAGGCACTCGGTCATGGTGACGCCGTAGAACATGTTCCTGCATATCGGAAGCACCGAGCCGAGGATGATGAAGGCCGAGAGCATCACAAAGGACATCACCGCGGACTACGAGAAGGAGCCAAAGGCTTATGGGAGAGAGAACTACTTTGAGAACAACAACAGCAACGTCATCTATGTGGATCCAGAGACAGAGGGCCAGAGGGACGAGGACGCGTCATCCAACATCTCCCTGACAAGCGAGGTGAAGAGCATGAAGTCGACTGCGCCCGAGCCCAAGACTCTTTATAACTTCAGGAGACCCTCGAAGAAGCAGAAGCTGTACATCTAGTCTGAGATGGACGAGCTGTGGAAGACTATGAGATCCGTGTATGGCATTGGCATAGTGATCTTCATCGCCTCCTATGCCTCGGACCTCTCCAGTATTCTCCCCTTGATTGCCTTCATCATCTACCTACCTCTGAGAGGGAAAGCACTACCCCCTCTAGGCTACGAGTACCACCCCTGTATCATCTTTTCATAGAGAGCTGCCGCAAGCACCGGTACCTGATGCTAGTGGTAGTGTGTGAAAAACTTCGATACACCCGTTATATTATGCGGAGACTACCTACCTCTGAGAGGGAAAGCACTACCCCCTCTAGGCTACGAGTACCACCCCTATATCATCTTTTCATAGAGAGCTGCCGTAACCGGTACCTGATGCTAGTGGGAGTGTGTGAAAAACTTCGATACACCCGTTATATTATGCGGAGACTACCTACCTCTGAGAGGGAAAGCACTACCCCCTCTAGGCTGCGAGTACCACCCCTATATCACGTTTTCATAGAGAGCTGCCGTAACCGGTACCTGATGCTAGTGGGAGTGTGTGAAAAACTTCGATACACCCGTTATATTATGCGGAGACTACCTACTACCCCCTCTAGGCTACGAGTGGTAGTGTGCCACCTTTTAGCGGTTTAGAGAGCAAGAACAGCTGCTCAAGATCATTGCGAGTCTTGTGGTTTTTGAACCTAGCAACTTGGCAACACAAGATGTGCACACTGTGACATAGTAGACACACTGGCAGGGCCATGGCACTTTCGAATGCTGGTCCGATCATCTCTCTTCGTCTATGGCATGATGAGCATGTTTTCAGTTCTTCGCCGCTGGAAGCCTCGGTGGGGCACAACATAGCTTTGCCCGCCAAAAAATTGATTTGAATTTTCTCGTGACATTCCGGCTGCCATGGCATGCAGCCCCCCCTAAATTCCCCGCCATAGCGCCCCGAACGCACTCAGTGCTGCATGGAGGCACGATGCCATGATGCCAATGATGATGCTGAGGCGGGGGGGTATTGCTCGTGGAGGCCCTTCCTTAAGCAGCTCAACGTCTACCTTGCTCGCTTCAAGGACTGGAAAGTCCCGGACGAGTACAAGCTCACCGAGCGCATCAATCGCCCTCTACCGCGCGGAGTCACACATCAGCCCTGACGCCCAGGAGAGCAGATCGAGGCTCGCAGAGCTACCGTCCTCGACGAATGCGTCCGGGCTGTCTTCGCTGCCCGGCCGGATAACCAACGAGCAGCTGGCACACGAGCTGCTGCTGTGCATTGATGTATTCTCGTTGACTACTTGCATGTTATTCTGACCTGCTGCAATCCTGTCTGCGTACTCTCTGAAATGAATCATTTCAGCCTATATTTTAGCCAGTGATTCCTCATTCGCGCGACCAGACGGCCCTCGCGACGTTGGATACTACAGCAGGCTGTTGACTGCTACCGAGCGCAATTATGACACGACGGACAGGGAACTCGTTGCTATCAAGGATACGCTTCTTTGTTTTCGTTTATATGCAAAAAAATCCCGAAGAGGCTGCGTCGGCTTCTCAAAGGGGAGGAACCGGCTCATTCACTGGCAGAAAGCAATACATCACGTTGATAACGACATGTAGATCGTAGACTACGCTTCACCGTATTCAACGATGTCTCCATTACTTATCACGCACTTGCATTTCCCTTCCCCATCGACTAGCAGGACATCCAGGTTTTGCACGAACTTGCATTCTTGTAGTTTTGAGATCACGATCGCAAGCGCTTCTGCAAGCGGCGGTTCCCCTCCAACCACATACCCTGTGTAAATCTTACCCGATACGTGCGGTCTGTGTAAAGGTTTTGAGATCTCGTGCATGAGGTTTTTAAGTTCTTTCTGAACAAAGTCTTCCTTCGCTGCGAAGCCAAAGTTTCGCAGCTTATTACAGACTTTTGTGCCATACATACTCAATGTCGTTTTGTCACGGCCTACAGTCAACAAATGCTCGTTCACAAACATCTCCAAACCTTTCGTGAGAGACAAGTCGCTCTTGTACTGTTGCATGGCGATCTCAATCAGAGCTCGGTTGTTGGCTATGACCTTGACCCGCGATAATTCTGACAGGGTTTACAGACTCTTTCTTGAAGACAGCAGCGTTGGACAACAGCATCCCCTTTGAAAGCAAGAAGAACAAAGCCTTTTTCAGAGGATCGACAACAGGGGGTGTTTACACGCTCAACAACTGGAGGGATTTCCCCAGGAGCAAGATCGTGCAGGCCTCCTTGGATCACCCGGAACTTATTGATGCTCGCTTCACAAACATCGTTCAGACAGACTCCGACCAGGTTGCAAGAGTCATGGAGAAGGAAGGGTTTCTATCGAGAGGACGAGTCTCGCACTCTGAACAGTGGCAGTACAAGCTAGTCGTCGTGCCGGATGGTAACTCGGTTCCTGACCGCCTGCTTGACTTCCTTGCCAGCAACGTGGTAGTCTTGAAGCAAGAATCCACAAGCGAAGAGTTCTGGTACAGGGATCTGCAGCCGTACCATCACTTCATTCCCTTCAAGCGAGATGTTTCCAACCTTATCCACGTCATCAGATCGTCTCTGAAGAATGAGAGTCTCTTGCGACATGTCGCGCAGGCTTCCACACTGTATGTGCTCGAACATCTCAACTCAGACTCCATGAAATGCTATCTGGTGCACCTGCTTCATGCGTACGCTCAGGTGTATAGTGGAAAATCGTAGCCAAAACTCAGAGTCAAAAGTCACCCAATCAAGTGCGTTTTGATTGCACGTCGATTGAAAGTAAGGAGACACTCTACTGAAACATCAGTAAGTGTCGGTCTCCAATATGTTGCGGAACTTTCTGTTGATCTCTTAGAAATAAAATTTGGCACTCTATCATAATCCTCCCTGCAATGACTGAGAGTCGGTCACAACATCTGGAACATAAATTGTGTAGTGCGTTTATCTAAAGGAACTTGAACCACCGAACGATTGAACTCACCAAGATCAGCACAGCAATTGCATCAACACGTTTTCCCCAAGAAGAACGATCTCAACGAAAGCTCAACAAACATTTGCTGGGTCTCTGATACAAGTACAAAGCAGAGTAACAAGAACCTTGAAACCCCCGTTGCAAAAGTTGTAATTTCCTATGCCACAACCTCTTCGTCACCCATCTCCCGCCGCCTCCTCATCCTCCTCCTCCTCCTCCTTCTGTGCCTCGTCATCCCCTGTGGAGGTACACTAATACGCCCCCACTCCATCTCCTTGAGGAGAGGAAGCGGGATTTCTCCAGCCATGGAGGAGAAGACAGACAAGTCGACAGGCGTTCTGTACCTGATCGGGCTGGGGTTGAGCAACGAGCAGGACATCACAGTGTGCGGCCTGCAGGTTGTGAAACGCTGCAAGCATGTGTATCTTGAGGGATACACGTCGATCCTCGGGGTAGAGAAGAGCAAACTGGAGGAGTTCTACGGGAGGGAGGTGGAGCTGATGGACAGAGAGGCGGTGGAGTCGAACTCAGATGAGATGTTGCTTGCAGCGAGGACGGCAGAGGTTGCGTTTCTTGTTGTTGGAGACGTGTACGGGGCAACTACACACACTGACATCGCCCTGAGAGCGAAGGAGATGGGCATCAGAGTGGAGGTCATTCACAACGCGTCCACCATGAATGCTTGTGGAGCGTGCGGCCTGCAGCTCTACAACTTCGGGCAAACAGTGTCACTCTGCTTCTGGACAGAGAGCTGTCCTGTGGAGGCAGCAGACCACGAGGCCGGCGAGGAGGAGGGAGGCGAGGAAGCTGAGAAGATTGATCTCGTTGTTGTTCAGCTTGAAGAAGACGGGGATGGGGAAGTCGCACGTGAAGGCAGCGATCTTTACCCCCAGCTGCTTCCCATCTGTGTAGTAGGCCAGCCCGACCTCCACCTGCAGCGGGAGGTCGTAGTTTGCGCCTGCCAGGTAGTTCGTGCAAGCTGGGGTCGTGCAGAGGATGGAGGTGTCGGAGGTCCAGCTAGCCCGCTTGCAGCTCGTCTCTCCTATCGTCGCCGTCGGCGAGTAGTCCAGGACTGTTGCCAGGAGCTCCAACTGTGTATATCCGAGCCAACTGGAAGATAGGTATGTCTGCTATGAAATCGCGGAACAGGGATAACAAGTAAAAATGTGGCAGGAGAGACGCAGGATCGCTATATCCTTGGTGGAACGGGTGGAGACCAGTTCGCAGGCAGGATTCTTGCTGGCAACGACAGCGGAACGGCAGACTTTGCTGTACTTCCACCCCACTTCACAACGGAAGGATTGAAGCAAATAGAAGAGATCGGATGGGAGAGGTTCATATCAGGTTACAGCAGTTTCCCGGCAGGATTTCAAAAGTGTATCCGCTTCTTCCTTGCAAGTATCTTATGGCACCTTCCAACTCTACAGGAATGGTTTCCGCACAGCAACGATGACATATGTCATGGAAGTATGCAGTGAACTCGACATCGGGCAACTCTACCTCGTCAGCCACCTTGGCTATGTCTTGAACGAGCCCGTTGGTCACTCTGTTACTTTTCTCCCATCGAGTTCCTTCAGTACCGTAGTGGGTGACATGGTTGTTGTGGATGCTGACGCCAACATAGTCCTCATCCTCCCGCACCTTCCTCCTCACCACTGACTGTGTCACACTGACTGTGTCACTCGCCCAGCACACGAAGCAGAGCGGTAAGGACGCAAAGACTCCTCGATGCTCGGATGAGCAAGGCACCTCTTGGCATGAATGAACTCATCCAGACTTAGCCGAGCTGGCTGAGAGTCCCTTGCTGGGTGTTCCGACTGCACTGGAAGCTTCACTGGTCGTAGGATCCTCTCCGGCTCAGGTTTGGAGGCTGCTGTCCGATGCAAGTCAGCGATCCTGGGCTTTCCATCATGGAGGTTCGCAGTCTTGTTCGGGGGAGAGCTTGCTACCTTGATAGCAGTGTTGCTGAGCCTTGCGTTCTTCCCCCCTTCAGCTCTTCTCTCCCTCGTCTCCGTGATGTTGTTCTTGAGTTGAACGGAAGGAACCCTCTGCCCCCTCCCCATCGCCTTGCTCAGCTTCCCATGGTCACTCACCGAAGGGGCGCTCCGACTCGACGGCTCCTCATGGCGGGGTCGAGGGGTGAAGAGGACGACACGAACTAACACAGAGAGCAAGGAGAGGACGAGGACGAGGACCGTGAATCCCCGCATCCCCTGCGCCCCCTGCCCTTCTTTCACTAGCCGAGCATGGCGACAAACGGTACTACCGTACTGTGAGAGGCCCGTAAAGTTATTATAATTGATTTTATAATACTGTCAACTTCCGGGGGGACTGTCACCCGGGCATGGGCCGGCCCGGCCCCGGCCCGGCGCCTTCTGGTGTAGACTGGCCGTAGTACAAACGTGACATTTTCTTTACTCAAAGTTTTAAGTTAAAAATCAGTAGGAGGACAATCAGGAGAGTCGGGGAGGCTTGACTTACACGCCCTTTTGAATCTGTGCTAGGCTATACACGCCTCAGAGTTGTTGGTTTCTTTTGAGTCTTTACCCGGAAGAGTAGAGTTGGAGTTGGAGACGAGAGAAGCGAACAAGAAAGGAGAGGAGAGGAGAGGAGAGGGGAGGAGAGGGGAGGGGAGTGGAGGAGAGAGGAGAGGGGAGGAGAGGGGAGTGGGGAGAGGGAGGTGGGGGAGGAGGGGGAGGGGAGGAGGGGAGGGGAGAGGGAGGAGAGGGAGAGGGAGAGGGAGAGGGATGCTGCAAGAAGAGTTCACGGAAGCAGTTGGGAGGAGCGATATCGCCTTTCTGACAACGAGGCAGATCAGCAACCTGGTACCTGGGTCATGGGTGGAGTAATAGGGAAGTCAAGACGTTCCAAGGCTAGCGGGGTACCAGCTGCTCCTCCTCGTAGCAGCGAACAGCTCGCAGGGGAAGAGAAGAAGCTACCAGATCGCAAGGACCATGGCCCGCAGCCTTCGCTTCCTGTCCCGGTGAATGGCGACGATGGCTGGTCCTGGGAGGAGCCGCTGATGATGCTGGTTAAGGTGGCGGCAAGGACGGCGGGAAGCGGAGGGATGAAGGTTGCTGATGAGGCAGCCGCAGGTTCTGAGGAGAACCAGTTGGTTGCTTGCTCGGTGTGTTGTTGCCGGGAACGAGGAGGGCTGTTCTTACCTGAAATTGTACAGGGCGGGTTGCAACATGGCGGGGATGAGGAGAGTTTTTCAGATGCGAGGGAATCGCGGATCTTGAAGGATGGGGATGGAAGGAGAGAGGAAGGGACGGAGGATGAAACAGGGGAAGAGGCATTGGAGGAGAGGGAGAAAGAAAACCATGAGGAACGGGATGGAAAAAGAGTTGTAAGGGAATGCGATTCGAAATTCAAGGTCGATGGACTATTTATGGATGATTTGAAACAAGTTTCCATGTGCTCTGAGCATGTTGAACCAAAGAGTGGCGCAGCTTTGGATACGAGCACAATTACTTGCGTCAACTCCGAAGAGACGCTTGAAGGTAGACATGCAGGCAATCCTTTCCCACCAGCGGAAGAACGCGTTGAGGGTAAAAAGAGTGTCAGTTGGGAAACGTCGAGCGCAGGGCAGAAGTTGTACCTCAGTGAAGTGAGGGAGGATATGATTGAGCTCATGATATCAAACTTCGAATACTTGCTCCCTCAACGCTCGCTGTTGGATTGTGAGATTTTGACGTTTGCCACGGAGGACTCAGCCAACTCGTGTGACTTGGAAGATCAGCTCAGCTCAGCTGGGATGGAGCAGAAACTGCAATCAAACCTCGAAAACTCTCTGAAGGTGCTCGTGTTTGAAAGCAGCATCACATTTCCAGCTTGCTTGCATACTGGACAAGATGATGCGATGTGTTGGTTGTCTCTGTCAGTGGACCTCTTGTACCTGAGATCTTACTTGTTGCTACGTGAGCTGGTTGATTGCAATCTCCTCATGCCCAGAAACGAAGAGCCGCAAAAGAGTCGACAGCATTCATTTCAGCAGCTGCACCAAGATTTGCTGTTGTTCATGCAGACAGGGAGCTCGAATGTTTTCAAGCGCCGCGATGGTGGGGCCGGAGAGTTTGCAGTGAGGCTGATTTGGAATGATGTCAAGGAGAGAAGTTACTTTCATGCTCGATCTCATATCAACATACTGTACAGCAACTGCAGGTCTTCGAAATCTCAACAAGATCACCCGATGAAACCTTGCAGCCTGTTGCCTTTCCTTTCCTATCAGGTCCGACCTCATCCACACATGCTTCCAATCGCATTCACTGACAGTCTTGGGGGAGCGAAAATATTTGCAGCTCCCTTCCTACATGGTTATGTAGCGCTGAACGAATGGTTGATACATCCGACAACAAGAAGAGCGTACCGTCTTGAGGATGATGTCGTGGACAAGAACAAGGAGAGTGATTGGGCGATGAGTTTGTTGCACATCTCCTTGCAGGTAATTAAGGTCGTCAGGGCAGTGGAAAGAATGTGATGACGGCCAGTGAGAAATGTGACGTGTTCAGTGAGAAATGTGGCGTGTTCAGTGAGAATTTAAGCGAAAAATGTGACATGTTCTGAGGTGCGAGATGATTTCTTTCTGATGCAAGTCTTGTGAATGCTTGTTTGTTGAAGATTGTCGACTTGTTTCTCAGACGAAAGTCTCATTCATCTCTTTCAGGTTTCATCTGCAGTCTCTTTCCTCCACGCTCCGAGCTCGCACGTTCACTGTCGTCCCCGGGTGGACAGCCCGTACGAGTGGTCAGAGTCGTCGGCACACCTTAGCCTTTCTCCTCAAGTGATACTAGTCCGATGTCTTTTTCACCAAGATGTCACAGATTATGTCAAGTTGCAATCAGGAGCCGTCGAGCTCAACTGGCCGAACGTGCACGCCATGTTGTGTGATTGGAAAGATAGCACAACAACAGTCAAGATGGAAGAAAGTTTGCGATCGTTCCAAACATGTCGTGCATGTTCTACGAATGTATCGGGAGCAGTCAGATATGAAGACTGCAGGAATGCGGTTGTCAGTGGAAGGGCGGGGTTTTGGTCGCCGGAGGAATGTTCCCTAGCATGTGGATGGGAAAGGAGGAGGAAAGATGAGGAGCAAAATAAGGAGGAGGAGAGGGATACGGGGAAAAGAGGCGAAAAAGGTGGAATGAAAGCAGCAGGGGCAGGCGAGGAGGAGGAGGGGATGAAAATTTTCGATTTCGACGAGTACTGGGATGGTGTCAAGTTACCCCAAGAGACAATCCTGTTGTCTGCGGTCAGCGAATGTTCGATAGAGATGCAGTTGCAAGACAGCAGTTGGACTACCTTGTACGTTGCGTTGGAGGCAGCAGGGAGTGGGGTTTTGTTGGGAGAATGCAAACTGAGCTTGCAGGAGTTAAGTGCTGGTGACAAGAGAATCGTCGTGTCGAGCAAGGGAGAAGTGGTAATTGACACATGTGAAAAGACTCAGCAGACAAATGAGATGTTACGTGTGAAACTTCCATGGAGACAGGAGGACGCTCAAACGAGCGCACAAGTTTGTACAGCCTTGCGAGTCAACAATCACCTTGCTGAAGCTATCTTGATACATGTTTGGTTTGAAACATCCCCAGTGCGATCTTTCCCAGCCTTTTCATCCTCTCCATCTACAAGTTCAGACGTTTGGAGTCTTGCGATGCTGATCATCTACATGCACGGGTGGACGGGCAAACTGAGGGCAGGAGGATGGGAGAGCTTGACATTATGTTGCAAAGAACATCTCGATCTCGAACACAACACAGAAGTCTCCCGTTCCCCTCCTCGGTCGAGCATGCCTGACGACCTGCTCGCTTGCTTGCAAGACTGTTTGAAGGCTTGTCCAAGTCTTCGAGTCTGCAGCAGTTGCGTCACAGCTCGTCTTGGAGAGATCATGAGGACGCGCGCGAAGATCTCTATCTTTCATGAAGTTGCCGCCCTGTCATTGCAGACACAACTCACTCATACGGTTGTACTGTTGTCTTACACCTTCACGTCTGTCATTCGCTGTCATGCTCTTTGATTGTAATCATCCCTCACGAACATATCTTCCTTGTTCATCTTACAGATGATATGAACAACTTGTAACCAACCTGTTGCATCAGGCGCTAGATGGAACTCTCCGAACACCTTCTTCGACAGCTTCTTCGGAACTGCAACAAAACATTTTCAAGATGTCTTGTGCTTGCTATCAGCGAGCAAGTGACCTCTCAGGAATTTTCTCCAGAAACATTTCCTCTGATTGTCAGTCAGCTAAATCTTCAACTGCAAACGTGCATTCGATCCTAAAAACTTGTCTCCACGCGCAATGTATGGCGCAGATATCGGATGAGATGTCCTGCAACCTTGCGTTGAAGATGCTATACGACATGTTCAACAAAACTAGGCACTGTAAGACGCTGGGCCTCAGATCGGAAGAAGTTGTCTCTTTGCAAACATGTGAATATTGGTCGTTGATGCTTGCAAATGATGCAGTGAAGAACATGTGCGGTTTGATTCTGGACCTTATTGCCACGATTTACATCCAACAGAGAGATTTGGAGGTTAGTAAAAGTGTCAACAACTGTCTGTCTTCGTGATTTTCTCTTCCTAACAACGCCTTGTGATGTTCCTTTTTGTCTACAGAGCTCGCTGAGGTGTGTCTTCGAACGAATGGACTTGTTTCAATCGCCGCTACTTGTCGACTCCTTGCTTTCATACACGCAACGAGACATCGCCGGCATCTATCGATCTTTGGGAAGGTGGGAAGAATGCATCTCATTTCTCAACAAGAGTTTGCAAAGTCTCAACGATCGCGAAAAAGAGAGCTTCATGAGTGAGAGGAGAAGAACGTTTATCAACATTGAGCTTGCATCATCCATGCTCCGTTGTGGGAGGTAAGTGACAAGTGCGATATCAAACAATCTACTGACTGGTAGAGCTGAGAGTTTTCTGACATGTGGACAACAATCGCAGAATCATCTGAAATGCAGCAACAGGTTGCAGGATGCGATATCAGTTGCTGAGCATTCCATGAAGACGATGGGAGTGCTGACAAGTCATGAGACAAGGTGATGTCGATGATGGGTGATGAGCTCTTTGACGAGACCTGTTGAATCAAACTGCAGACAAGAGTGGAAATTGTTTTGTAAGATAGTTGAGGAGTGCTCGTCAAAGCTCGTATCTCAAGCTCTCTCGGGTCTGACGATGAAAGAATGGATTGACAAAGTTGGAATCAGGTACATCAACTTGCGCTGCTTGTGATGGCCCGTGACAGGAGGAAGCGCGAGAGAAGCTAGAGGAGGAGAAGGCTGAGGAGAGGAGAAGAGAGCAAGAAGCGGTTTGCTAGCTGCCTTGAAACAAGACACGAATCTGACATCATTGCAAAGATTGCAAGACAAGCAAAGTTGGACGAGTTTGCGGCAAGAGGAGGAAAGATCATCACCAACAAACTGGATGACGGAACGAATGTGACCATCCTGATCGAGGGGAGCACAGTGCAACAGGACTGGGAGAAGACCATGAATGACATATCAGAAGTTCGGATGCTAAGAATGAAACAGAGGAAGATTGAGGGGGAGAGATGCTTTGAGGGTGCTAAGGCTGCGATCCGACAGCACCCGCCGGCCGTTGAGCAAGCAAGGTTTCTTTTCGAAAGAGCAAGAGATGCGTTTGCGACAGCTGCTGTGTTCGATATGATAACACCGTTGAGGAAGGTTGGTTTGAAGATGTTTGACTTGATATTGGTTGTTAACATGGTAGATGAAAGATGCAAGACAAGCTCGAGCTGCTGGAAAAGAAAGAGTGTGGAAAGGTTGTTGTGCCGACTCAAATCAAGATGCCAGCGGCGAGCGAGGAGGAGCGGGACAACTACGTTGCTGAAGATGAAGATGATGCGTATGGTGCCGATGAGCAGGATGAGGATGTTGACGAGAAGGCAACTTGTTCTCAAGCAACACTGATAGAGACATCAAATGCAACTGACTGGGAATCATGGTGGAAAAAAGACATGTCTCGAGTGAACGAAGAGAGTCTTCTTGCGAAGCAGGTAGCTACCAGATGTGTTGCGAGTTAATCTGATGTTCTATTGTAAGGTGCAGGAGATACAAGAGAATGGAAGAGAGAAGGGAGAAGAAGGGGAGATGGACGACGAGACGAGGAGCAGGAAGAAGAAGGTGGAAGAGATGATAAGGAAGGAGCTTGAAGAGCAGAGGGTTGCATACTTGAAACGTCTTCAAGAGAAGAATGTGGAAGATGAAGAAGAAGGGGATGATGAAAGATATCGGGGAAGCGATGACGACAACGATGTGACATAACATGCATTTTTTTCAGAATCTGTAAAAGAGTTTCCATTGAAAATTTCTACCTTCACATCTCAACACGTAAGAAAATCGCTAATGGCCACCATCTCACCCTGAAATCCCAACCAGCTCACTGAACAACCGTATTCTTCCCAACACCATCATCGCCGTTGTCGTCATTGTCATCATATGCATTCTTGTTTTCGCTGTAATCAACTCCGATCTCGATACCTGTTTGTTTCATCGCAATCGTTTCATCATCATCGTTTCTCGACTTCTTCTCTCAGATCTTTCAGTGCCCGCCCGACGACATTCCTGCCGATGATTTCCTCGCCTTCCACTTGCACACCTGGTCGATCAAAATCAAACAGAGCGAAGGAGATGAAGTGAGGGAGATGAAGTGAGTGAGTTAACGTTGAGGACTGATGATGGCTTAAGATTGAGAATCCATCCAAACTAAGTCAAGTTGTGCCCTTGTGAAAGAAACAAGACACCAGATGCACGCAAAGGAGCAAGGGAAGGTATAAAGACACAAACAGTTCAACAAGTGACAAAAATATCAACTATACACTGACCGTTCCATGTCCCTCCGCCAACCAGCAAGATGTCTTTCTTTCCTGACTTCAACAATGCTTCTCTCGCCTGATCATTTTGCCTGCAAGCATGGTTTGGTTGCACGTGGAGCAACATTCGGACTTCACATGAACTTAGCTCGCATGCCCTTCATCGTGACGGATTGTTTCATCTACATGATGGTCATTCCTTCCATCTATCGTCCGAGATAACTCACGTTGTCCCAACCACTTACTTCTCCGCACTCTGTCTGTGCAACGATATCCAGAACCTGGCAAGTTTGCGATGTCAAATCATATCAAGACAAACAATGGAACACGTATACATCGAAATATCGCACTACATTGCAGCATACTTCAATTGTAGTAACTATGTCTCTCTTTCTTTTCCTGCACATTGCACCCCCACCACGAATTTTGACATCTATCCAACGCACATATCTCACCTCAAAAGCATCTTTTGCGTTCTGAATCGTGTTGACAAGCCCAACATGAGGAGCATACCTGCAAACAAGTTCAGATTTCGCACAACAAAAGAAATTTCACATCTCACCTCACGCACTGAATGTAGTGCTCCACTGATTTGTAAGTCTGTCCGTCTACATTGAGCTGCAAAAGAATCGAAGTTGAGAATCTGGTGTGAGATATCATCAAGAAAGCACAAACCTCGCAGAGAAAGTAGTTTGAGAGAGGATCGCTGTCAGTATTGTAAAAGATATGATACTTCTCCGTCATCTCATCCTAAGCACCTGATCAGTTGCCAGTATAGAGAACAGTGAAAAAACGATATCAAACCTCATTCGCTGATTGACATTCGACTTCTACTTCATCACACTCGTACATAAAATCGTCATCGTGCTCAACCTGCAAAGTCGTTACATCCATTCACTCAAGACTTTCCGCTCTGCCTCATTGCAATGCTTCTGAAATTCCTCCGTATCTCTCAAGATCGCATTGCACCCAAGACACTTCAACATCTGAGGATCGAACTCGTAAGGGCAGTGATTCAACATCTGAACTCCAATCACACCTTCTTCAGCTGCACAGACTTTCTCTTCAGCTCCTCCTGAGCAAGCAAATCATCTCTGTACTTCCCCAACTCCTCCTGACACTGTTTATCGGCACCTGGTAACAGAAATCTCCTGCTTTGATCGCAAGCTCATCAAATTTTTCCTCCCCTGCTGGAAAGATTCTCGTCTGCCAAACAATCTCAGCACGACCCTCGTGCTTATTCCACACTGCCCATGACGATACCTCGGCTTCTGGCAGATCATCTTCTTCCTTTACACCGACGAGCGCATCATAATGTTGTCCTGGAATGTAACGCCATCATCATAATGTCGTCATCGTGACAACATCGTCATAACAACATCGTCATAACACCTTCGTTGCAACAGCATCGTTGCAACAGCATCGTCGCAACAACATCGTCGCAACAACATCGTCGCAACAACATCGTCGCAACAACATCATCGTAACAACATCATCAACGTCTCGCATCATGGGCAAACAGAAAACGAAAACACACCTGTGTATAAGATGTAGATCCTTCCAGCACGATTCTCGCCTGTTCTTCATGATCATTCCTTCCATCTCACAAAAAGCATGCGTGTTGAAACCTCCGTATGTCAAGACAGTAGATTTCTCTGCCATCATCACCACCTTAACATTGACAACCCGTCAGCCTCTCTGACATGTTCCAACGCAGACAAGTCCCCACAATGATCTCAAGGTTGTACTTCTTCGCCAGGATGTAGATTTCCGTCTCCCCTCCTGCAATGTTTTCAGCCTCAACATCTCTCCTCTCCACACACAAGTACCCCAGTTCATCTCATTCTTGATCCATTGGCAGTATTCTTGCACGTTCGTTCCCTGTTGACTTCCATCAACGCGACTGGAGCAGGGAGTGTAGACAGAAGCCAAATGTCACACTTACCAAGAGAACTTCATCGATCGCCGGGTCATGAGCAACGTGCTCAGCTACAGCTGTTCCCATCCAAACTTACAGGGGAGCAGGCGAACGTCAAAACTTTCATACCCGCTCGAAGTTCAGAGCATATACTGCCCTGCCTCCCTTCTGCAAGATAGCCCACAGAATGGAAAAGACAGTTGTTGTCCTGCATGGATGTCAGAGCAGCAGCACACATTCATCATGCTCTACCTTCGCCATCCTCCTCCGAACCATCATCTTTGCCTCCTCGGGGGCATTTGCGATCATCTTGAGACTGCTGGAGATTATCATAACCACACATGCTCCTCCTCCCCCCAGCCATAAATCTTCCTAATGGTTTCATGGCACACTCCCGTGCTCGCTGTCTTCTCCGTTCTCATGATCACTTTCCACATCAGCACAAGTACAAGAGACAACAATGACATCGTTACATCTACATCATCACATTACGTATCAGCCAAGATACAGCTTTCATCGCGACAACGAGAGCTGCAGCTGCCGCTGCTCCTTTCCCTCCTCCTCCTACTCCTCCTCCTCTACCCTCTCCCTCCCCTGCTCCTGCTCCTGCTCCCTCCTCCCCTCCTCCCCTCCTCCCTCCTCCTCCCCTGCCTCCTCCCATTATCTTCATCCCCATAGAGACCGGCGTAACAAAGTTTCTACAACAAAACAAACTTTTGACGTTGGTACCTTGAAAGTTTCAAACTTTCGGCTCAGACTTGAACTTCTTGGTCGGTTAGGTCATGGCGGGCAACAGAGAAGAGCGGCCCGGGGGAAGGCTGCGAGCGAGGACGAGGCAGTCCGACAGGATGGCAGGAGAGGAGGAGGAGGACCCTGTGCTGAGAGCAGGGAGGTTTTCGAGCCGAGCAGGAGTTCTTGGCAGAGATACGGAGGACGGAGTCTCTTCTCTGCTCGACCTCCGAAGGCAGGCAGACGAGGTGTCCAGGAGGGCAGGCGGCATGCGGAAGTCCGTGGTCGATGCCAAGGTCGCCATGGTTGCTCAGCGGCTGGCGTTCGAGCGGAGGCTGCAGGTGGGAGAGCAGGACGGCGCTGACCCGGTCACCAAGGCGAGGAGCAGCCATGCATGGGCGGAGATCCCAACGGACCACCTCAAGTTCGGGAAGCTGGTGAAGGGAAGAAACGAGGTGGACGAGGAGGTTCTTGCTCTGAGGAGAGAGATCGTGGAAGGCGAGCGGGAGTACCGCTCTCTCATCGTGCAGAAGAGCAAGCTGGACCGCATGGCGGCGGCGTTCACGTCCAGCCGGGTGATCCAGGAACTCTCGTCCAAGGAGCTCAGCTACAACATGACGGACGACATGAAGAAGCTGCTCAAGTCCACCAACAGACTGAGGAGTCAGATATCCATGCAGGGCGAGGCTGCTCCCGGTCTGAAGGTGCCTCATCTCAGCTCCTACGGCAGCCCAACGGCGGCTGGGCCGAGAGGGTCGAGCAACAGCAGCGCGGTCAACAGGCAGAACAACGAGAGGCTGGAGTTGAGCCTGCTGAGGGACAAAGTTCAAACTCTTGAGTCGAAGATATCAGAATTTGAGAACAACATGTCGCTAGCAAGGTCTGATGCTGTCTTGTTGGGTCTTTCCTGCTGTACTTTGTTCCATACTCCACTCCTCTCCCCTGTGTTACCGTCCTATCACCCTCCTGACCCTCCTTTTCATTCCCTTGGGTCCTCCTCCTCCTCCTCCTTCTTCTCCTCCTCCTCCTCCTTCTCCTGCTGCTCCTGCTGCTCCTTGTTGAAAGATATTTTGTGCCTGACGATGTTATTTACAGCATACTGGACGATTCAGAGGTGAAGCGAATTGTTGACGATTACTTACTGGAGGAACACTCGATATCATACCAGCTCGAGGTCCTGCTTCTCCCCTCCTTCCTAATTCCAGTCTCGTCCTCGTCCTCGTCCTCGTCCTCGTCCTCGTCCTCGTCCTCGTCCTCGTCCTCGTCCTCGTCCTCGTCCTCGTCCTCGTCCTCGTCCTCGTCCTCGTCCTCGTCCTCGTCCTCGTCCTCGTCCTCGTCCTCCTTCTCCCCCTCTCGTATTCTGCCAGTATTCCTCATTCTGCTGCGGCATTTCCTTGACCTCTCTGTCCAGGTTCGGACTGGGTCACATGAAAAGTCGCAGACAGACTGTGAGGTGTATGTTAGCCTGGCAGGAACGATGGGCTTCAGCGAAAGGTGCTTGCTCTCAGTACTTCTTGCCTCAGTAGCTGGACAATGAAGGAAGAGATGGGAGGGAGAGAGGGAGTTTCATAGTAAGGGAAGGATGAGAGGGAGGGGCGGAGCGAGGGAGCGAGGGAGCGAGAGAGAGGGTTCTGATTGGGGTCGGAGGAGCAGTTTTTGAAGTAGGGGAGAGGAGAGAAGTATCAGAGAGAACAAAGAATGTCTCCTGTCTCTTGGGTGGCTGTGGTGGACGTACAAGATGACTGCTGAGCAGGGAGATGTTGTTCAACCCTCACTACGGCCAGACAAGCTTTGAGAAAGGATCTGTGAGGTACTTCATAATAAGGACTTCGAAAGACCTTGGCGAGTTGCAGAATATGACCGTGTGGATTGGATCAGTTGGGGACAAGGTGAATTTGTCATCTCTCAAGAAAGGTGGATTTGTGTTGATGGGTAACTGACACGTACTTTCAGCCCTCATGGTTCTTGGAAGACATCATCGTCTACAACCTCAAGACTGTGAGCGATGTCTTTGTGTGTGGTGGTCAACTTTGGGGGCTGGGGAGAAGAGTAGGAGGGAGATGAAGGAGGAGAGGAAGGAACGATGGGAAAAGGAGGTGAAAAGGAGAGGAGAGGGAGAAGAAGAGGGGAGGGGAGGGGAGGGGAGGGGAGGGGAGGGGAGGGGAGGGGAGGGGAGGGGAGGGGACGGGGAGGGGAGGGGAGGGGAGGGAGGGGAGGGGAGGGGAGGGAGGGAGGAGGGGAGGGAGGGAGGAGGGAGGGGAGGGGAGGGAGGGGAGGGGAGGGGGAGGGGAGGGAGGGGAGGGGGAGGGGAGGGGAGGGAGGGAGGGAGGGAGGGGA